TTTTATTTTCAAAATTGAAAACATAGATAGATAAAACTTGTATTTGCGTTAAGGAACAAACACATGGGCACAGTAATGTAAAAAAGTAGATGTTATACATAATTATATTGGTCAATTAACAAAATATGATGTAGGTACAAAAAAACATACGAGTAACATAGTGTGTAAGAACAAAACGCTGTAATAAATGAAAAAGGTTTGTAGGAGGTAATTGTTTTTATATATCCTTATTTAATACTCATATGCCAAACTCTTTTATAGTAAATAAAGGTGTTTTTATTTTATTTATTTTATTACTCCGACCTCCATAGGTTCCAGTATGAGTTACTTATTATTATAAGTTAAAAACTAACTCATGATATTATATTAAAGTTAGGTATAAAAAAAATTAATAAAAATTTGTTTGCATAAAATACGTTAAGATTTATTAAACACTAGGTAACTGTGCCCGCGGTTTCACTTGATTTAAATTTCAATATAAAATATAGCCTATCTGTAATTCTGATGCATAAACTATATTACTGTAAAGTTTCATTATTATCCTTGTAGTTTTTGCGTGACAGAGTAACAAATATCAGAAACAAACTTTCGCGTTTTTAATATTATTAAGATATTGATTATTTATAAATCTAGTCAATATTAAAAACTTGCTCTTCAATTCAGCGTTAAAATATAGTTACCTACTGAACCAATTTCATTATTATTCATTGTAAAATTGTAAAATTTACAAAGAAATTACCCGTGAAAATACATCAGTGACGGCTCATTGTTCCGCGGTCAGATCGCGTGGAGGCTTGCCGAGATGGTAGTTACCTCGTTAGTGCAACAGCCTCTATTTATCTTAGCTAACACCTATCAAAGTGCCATTAGCGTGAAATGATACCATTATTCCTGGCCACACTAGAAAACTACCACGGTAATATGGTAGTAAATATTATAATGCAGTTATTAGCAAACTTTCCATTATAGTGTATTTTTAGTGGTCTAGTATTTTTTAAAACAAGATTTCATTTTAAAAATAACAGTTTTGATTTGATTTTACAAATTACTTACTTTAACATCTTGTGCACATTAAAACATGGTGTTAATACTTAGACTATGTAATATTATGTTATCTGTGCTTATATAGTATTAACCACAGGTAAGATAATATATTAACATAACATCGTATACATCTATAACGCATCTGCGCATCGGGCAATATTGTGTATCTGTGGCGCATTACGTTTTGCGCGGGAAAATAAAAAAAGGCTGCATCATAATTATAAATTGTTAATTTTTACATAGTATAAAATGAAGTAGCTTCCGCTATCGAAACTAACTATTATGACTCATAATAACACTATAATATTTTTTTCTTTCACTGAAATGTGAAAAACCAAACCAAAAAAATTAACACCATAGAGTAGTTTGTCATATAGTTATCTGTATTAGATACTCTGTGCTGTGCTATTTAATATTCTGTAGTTACGTTAACTTTTTGTAATAGAGTACAAAGTAATTTCCCTTATGTGTAGACCGGTGCGCTCGACTGCACTCACGTTGTATCACGGCACCGTGAGAACCGAACCTGCGGCCAGTGGATACGTAATCATATCATACCATGATAGGTAACAGTAATCCAATCACTGTTGCTCAATCATCAGGGCTCTCGTGATTGGAACCTTATGAGTTTTGTTGCAGACTTTTGAATCATTCATATGTGTCAGTATTAGCTGTGACAACATGAAATTTTTAACCTATTTGTTATTCTGATGTATAAGCTTTTTCACGCAAAAACTACTGAACGGATGTTGATGAAACTTAACAGTAATATGGCTTCATTCATTCATAATTTAAGAGCTGTGCTCTTGTCGGTGGACTCCCGCCACCTTCCACGATCTTCTATCAGTCCCTTTAGCTGTTGATACGACACGACTCCAACTTTTTCTTTAACTTGCTTGATATAGCTATGTCTTGGTCTTTCCCTTCCTCTCTTTCCATCTATTTTTCCTTCTATAATGTTGTTAATTAGTTCGTCGTGTCGTATCAAGTGCCCCAACATTTTTCCCCGCCTATTCTCAATAATATCTATGATCTGTCTCTTTTCTTTAATCCTCTCAAGCACTTCTTCATTCCTTATTTTATCTTTCCAGCTAATTCTTTCCATTCTTCACCAACACCACATTTCAAAGGCTTCCAGTTTGTCTCTTTCCTTTTGTGTCAATGTCCACGTCTCACAGGCATACAAGGCTATATTCCAGATGTAGGTCTTGATAAGTTGTTGTATAATATAGCTTATATATCAGAAATAACATCTAGGCTGCAAATTTCACAAAGATGAAACCGCGGGCACACCTAGTATAATATAACTTTAAATTCTGGTTATAAACATGTTAAACAGAATAAAACAAACTTTTTTTTTTTAATGGGTGCAAGGCGTGGGTATATATATATGGAGTTCTTTGCAAGGATCCGATAGGAACACCATGAGTTCTGTTTACGACTCGGAGTACCTACGACTTTCGGTTTTACCTTTAAATTATTATTAGATACATTTGGACACTTTTTTTTAATTTGAATTATATGATATTTAATACTTTTTTTATCTTTGCAACTTTTTTAGGCAATTGTTATCTTAATGTTATTTTTGTAATAAATTTGATTATTTTATTCTTATTAAAACCGTGTTAGTATAAAACATTAAAATGGACAATTTATATTATATTGAGATTTATTCCGTTTCATTTTAACAAATTAAATTCTTACCTGAACTGAACTGAACGTACGGACTGAAATGAATGAGTTATCCAACGAGTATTGTAAATATACAAAATAATCATTACTTTATTAGTTGCCCTGAATCTAAAATTATGTGGAAACAAAAAAAAAATATATATTGGCTTGACCGATTCTTACGAAATTTTTATATCTTGTACGCATATTCAGTAGATCTGAGAATAGAAGGTAAATAATTTTTCACGTCCCTAAATAATAAGGGATCTTCATCTTTTACATATGTCAAAAATGTAAAGGATGGGTTGCACCATCACCATCATCATCACCATCTTTTACATTTTTGAATTATGTTTTTATTTTTAATTTTTATTTCGATTCGACATTATACAATCCTAAATTTTCAGCCTTCTACAAAACGTTTGCAGAGTCAGCCAGTTTATAAAATTTTAAAGCAAAAACTAACTACGAATTACATACATTTGTTTTTAAGTAGTATCGACGTATTGATTAACTTAATAAAGTTTAACAATAGATTGCATTTCAATTTACTCAATTTTAAACTATAATCACTCTTTTAATCCTTGTTTAGAATTCATCTATGTTTTATATTAGTCTAGTGTCGACGGAATGAGTAACTTAATACACTTTAACAATAGATTACATTTTTATTTACTCAATTTTAAACCATAATCATCCCTTTAATTCCCAGTTTAAGCTTTTAAATAACACTCTTGAGAGGTAAATACCCTTATTTACCATTAAATTATTCGAGGTAAAACCCGTTTAGCTGTATTAATAATCAGTCTTGAGTAGTCTAGTCAGTATTGGCGAAGCTTATTAATTGTCATTGGACAACTTAATATGACTGGAAACATGTAAAAATTACACCGTTAATTTTCCTAAAATAAAATAGATAATGTGTGGTCAAAGTACAGATGGTGCAGCGGCCGCTCCGTGTGCCATAGGCCATGTAGATAATATGTGGTCAAAGTACAGACGGCGCAGCGGCCGCTCCGTGTGCCATAGGCCATGTAGATAATGTGTGGTCATAGTACAGACGGTGCAGTGGCCGCTCCGTGTGCCATAGGCCATGTAGATAATGGGTGGTCAAAGTACAGACGGTGCAGCGGCCGCTCCGTGTGCCATAGGCCATGTAGATAATGTGTGGTCATAGTACAGACGGTGCAGTGGCCGCCCCGTGTGCCATTGGCCATGACGTGGTACCTTACACCTACACCATACTCTTCCATGTTTATACTCGTATAAAATTGTATATATATTTATACGGCGACCTCGGAGGTCCGATGGTCGCGGGTTCGATTCCTCGCACGGCACAAACATTTGTATTCATTAATATGATTGTTTTTTTTTCTGTATAATATATGTATATTATTTGTAGTTAATTCATTTTACTTTTTAATATTTATTTTTATTCATTATCCATGTCATTGCAATAAAGTTTAAAAAAAAATGATTAATTTTTTTATGTTTAAATTTTTTGTAGCACGGTGCGCGAGTGTGGAGGTACCGCCACGCTGCTCTCGGTTGAAGTTCGTGAGGGCACATGGGGTGCTGTGCCCCGGGGCTCCGGCGTTGTCGTCGAGTGGGCCGGAGACAACGCCCCGCTAAGAGCCGGTGACAGGTAAACATACAGTTCAAATATATATCAATAAAATTCAAATTTAAAATATCTTTATTCATGTAGGTCTATTACACTCTTATGATATGTCAAATCTACCGTCAGTTCGGAATGATTTCGGGGTGAGAAGAACTGACACGGGTATTGGAATCGACTTTCACGCGGGAAAGAATAGAATAGAATAGAACTTTAATAGAAAGATGTTCCAATACACGCACCATATACATTCAAAATTCAAAATATCTTTATTCATGTAGCTCTATTACAGACCCTTATGATATGTCAAATCTACCGTCAGTTCGGAATGATTTCGAGATGAGAACTGACAAAAAACTCAGCTAGTATTCTTTTCATTATATTAATGTATATAATGAATGAAGAATGTCAATTTAATTGTATGCTTTTTCGTGTGTCGCATAGTCGAGAAGACTGATAAAAAGGTAGGGAACATATTATAATATAAATAAATTTGACGTTCATAAGTGGCTAAAATGTCCTACATGATTAAATGATTTTTGAATTTGAAAATATATCCTACGTACTGTTACCGTACCGTATATGTTAGTATCTAGTTCAAAGACAAAAATTTATTAACTTGATTTTATTACAATGAGTGCGTAGCGATTTCTACGTTGATTATCGCATGCCTCTTACTTGTTATACTGTAATTATTTATATAAAAAAACATCTATTAAAAAGAGCAACACACAAATTTCTTGCTCATTCTTCTTGTGATGAATCTGCATTCCGAATGAGTGGTAGAATCAAAATATGACTATTCAAAAGTGCTTGTAATGAGTTTATTTGAATAAAGATTATTTCTATTTCTGTTTCTATTACAAAAATTAAAAAAGTGTATATTTATACATATTTATTTAATAAACTGCAGTTGGGAAATGCGACAATAATTCATGCCATAAAAAGTTCTCGTGAGAAACTTGCGTTGAATCAATTATTGTTACGATACAAAAACGCTGCCAGCGAACAATCGAAGCAATAAAACTTGTATATTAATGCACTTCTACATTAATAGTTTAGCATAAATATTATGTTATCTGTGGTGTAAGGGTTGAAAATAAAACATATAGCGTAGTTTAAACTAGGACGTGCGACAAGCAGCGTTCGCGTTGGTTGGTGGTAAGCTACTAAACAATTTATTTTGTGGATGATAATGGAATGGTGCACCCGCCTGCGCTAACGGTTTACGCTGGCCGGGCACCAGTGAAGGATGATAAGATGAGCATGAGGTCAGGTCAGTTAGCCCATTGTGACAAATTCACCAGGAATAAAACCAGGTTTCCAGGGGAAACCGAGGTCGACCTGACATGGTACATTGCTAGCAACGGGGTTGTCAATCCACTTTACTAACAATTCCCTTCCCCCCGCTACTAAGCAATTAGGTGTGGTGGCTTGCATATGGACAGTCCTGCGGGTCATTGCACATACCTGTACCTTTAATAAAAATCATACGTAGGTACGTAATACAGGTATATATACAGTTCTAAACAATAGAGTAAAATAAGAATATCTTAAAAGTAACAATACATAAAAGTACATATTAAAATACCTGACCCAGCAAACGTTGTTTTCCTATATAAACAAAATCGCTGTTAAAAAAACAGGTTGGTGATATAAGGGTGCAGGGAAAATTTAGAGTTGTATATATGTACTATAAATGATTTTCTATTAATTAAAATTCATTTTCTATATCTATTTTTGTTATTTATCACGTAATTTGTACTCAAATAGAAAGATAAATATTCAAACTCTTCTGATTATGTATGTTTTATACACTATGCCCCGGTTTCGACGGAATAATCTCGTTTTTGGCACTCAAAAAGTTTCAAAATCTCTAATCGGTAAAAAAAATCTGGCAATTCTGATTTATATCTACATATTCTACGATATACTAACTGTGGGCACACAACACGCAATAAGAGTTGAGAAAAATGACCCACAGCGAATATATTACTACCAGTATTTGTGCTAAGTATTTTTTTACAATAATATCTGTGGCTTCCTTTCCGGCGACATCCTGTATGTCTTATTCTTATGATCCTGTATATGTATTCCTAAGTTTTCTTCCCTCACATTCGTATGCTATACTATGTGCGCTGAATGATGAATGCAGGTGATAGTTACTACATTTAACAATTGATAAATTTAAGTTACTACTGTTAGGTATAACGATTTAATATATAGTTTTAATGTCAAATACCTACTGACTGACGTAATTGTAATAAAATATTAATCACCATGATCATCATCATCATCGCAGCCCAGAAGACGTCCACTGCTGGACACAGGCCTCCCCCAAAGATCTATACGATCGGTCCTGCGCTGCTCGCATTCAATGCCTTCCAGCGATCTTGACCAGATCGTCGGTCCACCTTGCTGGAGGCCTTCCCACGCTGCGTCTTCCGGTCTGCGGTCGCCACTCGAGGACTTTGATAAAAACATATTAAGATAATACAATTCCCCTTCTTCAAACGAATCTTATTTATCTTATATATAACTTATCGGTCATAACATATCATCTCAGATTAAAAGAACCCAACCACAATAACTACAGTTATTAATGATATAATATATTACGAATGTAATGTGGTACAGCTGAAATACTAAGTCATAATTTGTAAATCGCGCCAACTTTCAAGAGTAAAACAAACATGTCATCCGCCTATCAAAAGATATAGATAGATAGTCATATAGATAATCTTAATAAGATAATAATAATAATCTCAGGACAATTCACACAGCGCCATCTAGACCCAAGTTTAGCTAGCTAAAGCTTGTGTTATGGGTACTAGATAACTAATACATATACATAGATATTTTTTTTTGTAAATACATACATATTATACATAGAAAACACCCATACCGATACAAACAATCATACTCATGAATGTGTTTGTGCCGTGCGAGGAATCGAACCCGCGACCATCAGTCGTAAAGCGTTATGCTAGACCACCGAAGTCGATTAAATATCTATTAGGGCAATTACTCGCGTGTATATTATAATGAGACATATATATACATGGACAAGGCTCGCTGGAGTCTCGTCTAGACTTTCTCACACATCGCTTCATTAACATAATTATAGTATTTACAACAAGATTAATGTATCCACTATAAAATCGTGTAAAAACTACGGGTTGACTAATTGTTGTTATTTGTAATAGAAGACTGAATTATGTGTCTGTACGACACTTATATTGAATAGGTTTCTATGTTGATTGTCGCATGCCTAATCCTTGTTGTTAATTAAATATAAGTAAATCAATATTTATTTAAAAGAGCAACACACAAGTTTCTTGCTTATTCTTCTTGTGATAAATCTGCATTCCGAATAAGCGGTAGAATAAAAAAAACTTGACTATTCAAAAGTGCTTGTATTAAGTTTATTTGAATAAAGATTATTTCTATTTCTATATATAGGTATATGCACGACAGGTATCACGAAATACAAAGTGACACCTATAATAACACATCCAATGCAGCCCTGGTCCCTAAAGACTAAATTATAATCTAAATTTTCTATAATTTTACAACATTATGGTCAAATCGAACCCACGACCATCGTCGTACATCGAAATTTAACGGGAGTGAAACTGCGGTCACAGATAGTGATATTATAATTTCAAAACAACTGAACGGATTTTTCGCGGTTTTCGTCTATTAATAGACATTTTTTAAGAAGGTTTAGATGTATAATTCATTAAAGGGTAATATAAATTAGGTGAAATAATCGCGCGAAGCCAGGTCGAGTCATATACTTTCGATGTACGACGGTGTGCTATACCGCTGGACCACCAAGGATAATAATACAAATAACTTTAAATACATTTTCAGATTAGTGGAAGTGAACGGCACGTGGACGGTGTCGTGTCGTAGTGTGGAGGAGGTGCAGCGGGCGGCGACCAGCTCCAACCCGGCGCGACTGGTGGTCATCCGAGGGTACCCCACGCAGCAGCACCAGCCAATACACTCCAATACTTTTACTCATGTAATTACCATTCAAGTATATCAAAAGAACATAAGTTTTCTTCGTTCATCATTCTTCTTGACTATTTGACATTTCAAATTTGGCGGCAGAATATAAAAATTATTATTTAGTGCTTCAATCAGTTTATTTAAATGAAGATTTCTTTTCTATTGTATCCCTGATTTCGTTCTTTCAATTTTACTATTAGTATTTATTTCATACATAAGTTTATTTCATATGTAAATTTTTATTAGTATCGAATGAAATAAAATAAAAATTCGCATAAAAATAATGAATTAATTTAATTTCTCCTTTTTTCTCTTATCTTTTTTCTGGGTATCAACATCGAATTTTGAACCACTTGAAGGATGTACTACTTTTTTTTATATGAAAACCGAAGCTGACAGGTTACTTGATAAATGGTGACCATCGCCTTTACACATGATAAACAAACATGCTTTCGCATTCTTTGTAACGAAAGAAAAAGCATAATGAGTTGTATAATAATCAGTGTTAAACTTAGTATGCATACAGCTATAACGCGCTCGTCTGGCTACCGGCAACATTGTGTATCTGTTACGAATTATGTTTGCTCTAGAAAATAAAAAAACAAAGAATTTGTCTGACTTCGTTCTTAATTGTTAATTATTTTACTTTATTCTATGTACCTTTTTATGTCTACTCCAACACTGTATACACATAACAACCCGAGTATAAATACTGCCCCTACTCACAATACAGCATACGCTGAACCGGGTCCTTTTGCCGCCTTTACGAATTATCCTTTAAATTTCATAGGCAGAAATATATGATTCTTACTCTCGTTTTCGTTTTCGTTCTCGCTCTCATTCTCACGCTCACTCTCACTCTCACACTCTCACTGACTCCCACTCTCACTCTCACTCTCACTCTCACTCTCACTCTCACTCTCACTCTCACTCTCACTCTCACTCTCACTCTCACTCTCACTCTCACTCTCACTCTCACTCTCACTCTCACTCTCACTCTCACTCTCACACTCACACTCACACTCACACTCACACTCACACTCACTCTCATTCTCACTCTTATTCTGTTCTTATTCAAGACTGATGTAAAATGGTCGTATTCCGTAGAACGAAGCTAGTTCTCTGCGCGCGGAGCTGAACGCGCTGCGCACAGCATCTGAGGAGACGGAGCGCGCCAAAGAGAGCCTGCGGACTGACAACACGCGCCTCACGCACCGAATCTCGTACCTCGAGGAGCAGGTCGCCGAGATGCTGGCCAGGCATGCACAGGTATGTTAATACTATTGAGAATCACAACGCCATCTAGCCCCAAACTAAAAGCCTGAATTAATCTATACTCAACTAGGGAAGAAAGGTTATTAAGAGACTGCGTCTGCGCTTCTGCGAGGAACTTCGCTGGCTACATTAGTAGTCTTGGCCATCTTGGCCAAAACATTAGGACAGAAGGGGATCGTTAGCAATATGACCAAATAATTACATTGCTAGCAATGTTCGATTCGGTTTCCCCTGGAAACCACCATACGTTCAGGAACTTATGGTGGTTTCCAGCTTCAGTTAGCACACTAGCTACAAAGTGCTAACTGAAACGACCTCATGGTCATCCTAATATCGTCCAGTGTTGCACCGCACAGTGGGAACTTTGACTCATTTTCGTCTCATAAATCTATAACTTCTGTATTAATAAAGATATGTACATGATTTTTTTTCCTGATAATCTTAAATATATATACTTTTAAATAATGTATGCTTTGTGAGTAAAAAAATATTTCTAATAGTTATAAATAATTTAGGAATACAAGAAATATAGAATTTGTAGACTTACATTTATGTCCTAAGAAGTTTATACAGAAATAAGTAAAAGTATCAGCGTAAAAAACCAAAATTCTTATAAAGATAGCTTACAAGTCACTCAAGAGCTCCTTTTCTTCATCAAAAAGTACTAAATATTTTTTATTGGAAGGTATTCTTAAACTTGTTATATATGGGTCAGAGGTATATAAAAATGCGTGTAGAACATCTTTGTTAGAGGCTACCCTCGAACATTGTCTTGCATGATGAAGCCTGAACTGTTTATAGTCTTTGTTCCGTGACTCTTGAGCATCTTCTGAAAGTTGCCCAAAAGGCAAGACAGAAAAGTAACGTATCACACGTTCACATTTCATTTCGTAACATAAAACAGTTTTATTAATTCCTCATGTATACTAGTAATTTCTGATGTACAATGATAATTTTGGAAAAATCTTGTGGCTGTATTGCCGTCATTAGTGTTGTCACTAACTTGCATCGCTATATCTATATTTAATCCAAGTTCTTCTCTGAACCTTCTTTGTACATAAGCCTTCTTTTGCTATTTTAAATCTTTATTTTCTGTTGTTGTGGCAGACCATTTGTATTGATTTGTATTTTGATTGTAAGATAAATGTAAAATAAGTTCTACGAATGCAAAGTTGAAAGGCCATATTGATAGGAAGTTTCATCGACAGGTTTATTTTGTACTTTTTCTAAATTGTTCATCTCTGTGGGTTTTGCACTGCAAATGGTAGGTACATACATTTGATTTCTGCTTTAACTTTAGTAATTTCTATACATAATTTTGGCGAATAGCACGATTCTTTAGCTTCACGAATCAACCTATATGATGGAAACAATAAGTAATTCTTTGCTATCAAACAACTCCTCATATTTTCGTACTGTGCCTTGTTCAGATCCAATTTTATGAAAATGCTAAGAGCTTAATGTTTTGAATATGCTGTTATATATGCCGGTTCATTAATAAGATTATTCATTAAGATAGCTCATTTCATTCTAGTTTTCTGCCGGCAATGCTCGTAAAATATCAATGATGATCAACCCTTAAACCCTGTACATATGAGTTCAGTATGAAGTCCACAGGTATCAAGCAAGCCTTGTTTTTCCGTTTCTTTGTTCGAACTGTCTTCGTACGTTTTAGAAGGTCTGCCTCTTTTCTCTGTCGAAGTAGTAGGTTCAGGTTCGCATGTAGTTTTTCTAGATTTACAGTGAAAATAGCATCCTATCAATTGTTATTTTATTTAAAAACTGTTCTTTCTTTCGACCACATTTCGTATAGCGTTGACGAAACTGAGTTATGAAGGACTTCTGAATACTTGCGATAATTTTTGCTATATTCGCATCTGAAGATTCGGTAAAATTATTTCGTAGTTTGAGATAGAATCAACATAATTTGTATCACTTTAAATCAATAAGACACTTAAGTCGCGTCTGGTACACGAGAATTCACTCATTGGGGTGAGATGAGTAATTAACGATTGTTTAGTAATAACAAATGCTTATGAAGAACTGTAATATTTCATATGCAAATACATACACTATTTTATACTTAATAATGGTCATATACGTGTGCAAAATTACTTGATAAAAAATATTTATCATTATGCGGTATAGAATAGGTCTGTATGGGAATGGGAACTATATACTGTGTGAAATAGTTGATAAAAGTAAGGCAAAAGATAAAATATATAGTAATAATTGAGCAAAAAGAATTTTTTTGAATATTCAGACAGAGATTCTCAAATAAAGAAAAAAATCTTAATATACGTACTTAGAAAAAACAAATCTCACCATGATATTATACTCGATTTAAATATTTTACGCAGTGAAACTGCAAAAAAAAATGTTATGCCATCAAATTACATTATATTTCCTAATAAATAAAACCAAATTTAGAACTTCGGCAAGCTTCGGCAACTGTCAAATCTCCTAGTGAAAGTCTGAGAAAAGAAAATAGTACATATAACGATATATGGATTTTTAGTTAAATAATATTCGACTAAACTAAATATATTTTTATTTTATAGTAAAGTACACATTCTAAGCATTCTAAAATGGTATCACACTATATCACTTGATATTGTTTTGATACTATAAACTTATACCAAACAAATTTAAGTTACAAAATTATTTTTGTATTTTTTTCATTCCTCAACTTTAGAGGCTCTATTCTATGAAGTATGAATAGTCAGAGATTTGAATCATATTTATAATGATAGAGTAACTCTTTGGCTACAATTTGAGGTATATACAAGCATATCCACGGAGTTTTAGAAAAAGTATTTATGAGATGGCTTTCTTAGGCGAGTTCCCACTGTGCACCGCCAGAGTAAACCGTTAGCATAGGCGGATGCAGCGTTCCATTATCAACCATTAATAAAAAAACTGTTTCAGAAGACTTCCTATAGGTATCACTTATTAAGCGTAAATATTTGCATTCGAAGTACTGTTTTGCACTTTCAATTATATATTAATATTCAAAATATCTTTATTCATGTAGGTCTATTACAGACTCTTATGATATGTCAAATTTACCGTCATTTCGGAATGATTTCGAGATGAGAAGAACTGACAAGAAACTCAGCTCGTATTTTTTTAGTAAATATTGTACATGTTTGCAATACATCCTGCATAAGTATGTAGTTATTTAAAAAAACCAGCTGGTATTTAATGGCCAACAGTGTGGATACAACTATAAAGTTACTTATTAGTTATTTTTTAGGTCTGCACATAAAGTTCTCCAGCAGATTTCATTTATATTTATTTTGATTCCAGGTACAACCCACAAGCAGCAACGACAGTTGCATAACTGTTAATAAATCAAAGAAAAATGTGACCAATATTAACATCACTACGGAACCCCAATCAAAGAGTAAACATAGTCCGAAATCAGAAGTTCAGGTGTTCCAAAAGGGTCCGGACATCACGGCCATCGTCGCCAAATTACCTGGACTGGACGGAGCTGAAGCTAACCTGCCCCTCATGAGGCCAAGGTCCAACGCTTCTGGAGCGTCGTCCAGAGCCGCAGTATCTCCTCGAGCCTCGCCACAACCAAACTACAGATCCCACAGCTCGCACAGTTTGGAACACAAAGCTGGGCGCATGCGGCATTCTCTCTCACACCACTGCATACACGGCGCTATGGATTACAGCGCGGAAACAGATGCCGCAATACGTATGATCGAACGAAACCAAAGACACATGGAGAAACAACGCATGAAATCAGAAAAACTAAACAGAACCAAGACAGAAGAATACTTCCGATCAGACAGCGATTTGGACGTGAAAGATTCTCGCATAAACATGAGCGCTTGCGACCCCAAACATTATGAGATCAAAAAAGCAGCCGACCGTATAGAAGAGAGCATCAAGAAAACCAATTGGGCTGAGAGGAAAACGCTGTCAATAATTGAACAGTTGAAACGGTCGCAGCGGTTAAGGAAGATGAAGAAGAATGATAGCTCAGAAGATATTCAGGTAGAATCTGAGAAGCATTACATGTACCATAGGATAGATGGCAAAGTGTTGGAGAATGCCCACAAGTCGAGTCGAAGAACATCGAAACTACACAGCAGAAGCGCCAAGTCTTCAGAATTCGAATCGGAGTGTTCCGACTACCCTAACGGTGACATGTACAGCAGTTCTCCGAGGATAGACTACGGGTCTGAAAGCTGCTCAAGGTTGAGTCACTATCGGAAAAACGAGGATAGGAGAGATAGTGACGTGAAGTCAAGACCCACTCCACCGCGAAAACCACTTCGTCTATCTTTACATAAGGCGCGTAGTGCCCACTCTTTAGTAAACGGGAGCGAATCAGAAACACCTAGTAGACCATTATCGGAACTGCAGAATGGCGACCTTCAAGATTGTCAGAAGAGACCAGTGAAAAGAACTCACGGAGCCGATAAGTGGGCAAGGGAAAGAATAAGGGATCCAGGACGAGCTACTCCAAGACCGACGCGGAAACTCTTGAACGGGCTGAGCGCGTGCGAGACTCCAGCAGCCGATGCTCTGTACCCTGAGAATACTCATAAACCGATGAAAGCGAATGGTGTCATGCATTCAGCAGGCAAGTGGTGCTAAAGTCGAAAAGAACAGTCCAGTACGTACAATTACGAAAAATCAACAACGTTTTACTGCAGATGACAACGGCTCGAAGGTCGCGCAGCTGCGTTTCTAATGTACACGTGCCATGCGATAAGGATTCTAGGAAGTCGCAAGAACGTGCACGGTGGCACGTGTAGAGAGTGTATTTTTACTGAGTTCCCGATATTGTTTCAATTATATTTGTGTACCTTCACTCCTCTACAAATATTGGGAACTCAATAAAAATAAAAAAACATAGTAAAATCCCGTGATTATACCTATTTGTACGTATAAATAATGACAGTGTCAAAAAAACCGTATAACACTCCAATAGATCAATGAACGTAATATGTACAGAGGCTATACTAAATCATAGACAATAAGTTATTGTATTTTAACTGTAAATAAATAACGTAAATAATAAGCACCCACCGCGTGAATACTCACCTTATTCTGTAATATTAATTTAGGGCATTTCAATATGTTTACAATTTTATATACACAGTATATGCATAAATAAAAGTATAAATTAAAAACCATTGTTTTATTCATGAACCTTCTGTATAGTTTATACTAATTTACAGCTCGAATGCTCAGTGAGATTGAGATTGAGACTAAGAGTGAGACTGTGAGTGAGACTGATAGTGAGACTGAGATTAAGACTAATAGTGAGACTGAGAATGAGAATGAGAGCGAGACTGATAGTGAGACTGGTAGTTAGACTGATAGTGAGAATGAGAGTGAGACTGATAGTGAGACTGAGATTGAGACTGAGAGTGAGACTGAGTGAAACTGATAGTGAGACTGAGATTGTGACTGAGAGTGAGACTGTGAATAACCTTTAATAAAGTATCCTTTAAATGTTAGCGATGAGCTAACTGATCTGATCTCATACTCATCTTATCATCCTGCACTAGTGCCCCGCCAGCATAAAGTTTAATGCAAGCGAGTGAACCATACCATTATCAATCATCATGAGATTGAGACTGAGTGAAACTGATAGTGAGACTGAGATTAAGACTGATAGTAGACTGAGATTGAGACTGAGATTCAGACTGAGAGTGAGACTGAGAGAGAGACTGAGAGAGAGACTGAGAGTGAGACTGAGAGTGAGACTGAGAGTGAGACTGAGAGTGAGACTGATAGTGAGACTGAGATTGTGACTGAGAGTGAGACTGTGAATGACCTTTAATAAAGTATCCTTTAAATGTTAGCGATGAGCTAACTGATCTGATCTCATACTCATCTTATCATCTTCCGCTAGTGCCCCGCCAGCATAAACTTTAATGCAAGCGAGTGAACCATACCATTATCAATCATCATGAGACTGAGATTGAGACTGAGAGTGAGACTGAGTAAAACTGATAGTGAGACTGAGATTGAGACTGATAGTGAGACTGAGATTGAGACTGAGAGTGAGACTGAGAGTGAGACAGTGAGTGAAACTGATAGTGACACTGAGAGTGAGACTGAGATTGAGACTGAGAGTGTGACTGAGAGTGAGACAGTGAGTGAAACTGATAGTGAGACTGAGAGTGAGACTGAGAGTGAGACTGATAGAGAGCCTGGGAGTGAGACTGTAAGTGAGACTGGGAGTGAGACTGAGAGTGAGACTGTAAGTGAGACTGATAGTGAGACTGATAGTGAGACTGAGATTGAGACTAAGAGTGAGATTATGAATGAGACTGAGAGTGAGACTAAGAGTGAGACTGATAGTGAGACTGAGATTTAGACTGAGAGCGAGAATGAAAATGAGAGTGACAATAAGAGCGAGAATGAGAGTGAGAATGAGAATAAGAGTAAGAATTATTTAAAGAATACTTAATTAAAGGCGAGCTAGCGCTGAGCTAACTGATCTGACCTCATACTCATCAAGTAAACCATACCATTATCATCCATTAAAAATAGGACTTTATTTTTATATGAATGTACAAAAATATATATATATTTATTCTCTTTACTTAGGTACCACTCTCTAAGTAAAGAGAATAAGGAATATATATTTTTGTACATATTTATAAAGAAAAAATTAAGAGAACCTATTTTGTGCAGATATTTATTCTCTAGAACTTTGATTTAAAACATTTTTACATGTTTCATACCGTTGTAGAGTTATTTTGAAAAATAGCGTTATTCAACCCTTTTTTTAATTTCTTCATGCCTTTCGAGTCAACTTAAATTAAAATTTCTTTCTGAATATTTGCGTTCAGAAAGTGAGACTGAGAGTGAGACTGTTAGTGAGACTAAGATTGAGACTGAGAGAAAGACTGAGAGTGAGACTGAGAGTGAGACTGACAGTGAGACTGAGATTGAGACTAAGAATGAGACTGAGAGTGTGATTGTGAGTGAGAATGATAGTGAGACTGAGATTGAGACTAAGAGTGAGATTATGAATGAGACTGATAGTGAGACTAAGTTTGAGACTGAGAGTGAGACTGTGAATGAGACTGATAGCGAGACTGAGATTGAGACTGAGAGTAAGTCTGAGAGTGAGACTGTGAGTGAAACTGATAGTGAGACTGAGATTGAGACTGAGAGTGAGACTGTGAGTGAAACTGATAGTGAGACTGAGAGCGAGACCGAGAGTGAGACTGAGAGAGAGACTGAGAGTGAGACTGAGAGTGAGACTGTTAGTGAGACTGAGAGTGAGACTGAGAGTGAGACTGTGAGTGACTGTGAGTGAAACTGATAGTGAGACTGACAGCGAGACCGAGAGTGAGACTGAGAGTGAGACTGAGAGTGACACTGAGAGTGAGACTGTTAGTGAGACTGAGAGTGAGACTGAGAGTGAGACTGAGAGTGAGACTATAAGTGAGACTGGGAGTGAGACTGCGAGTGAGACTGAGAGTGAGACTGAGAGTGAGACTGAGAGTGAGACTGAGAGTGAGACTGATAGGGAGCCTGGGAGTGAGACTGTAAGTGAGACAGATAGAGAGCCTGGGAGTGAGACTGTAAGTGAGACTGGGAGTTAGACTGAGAGATTTAGACTGAGAGCGAGAATGAAAATGAGAGTGACAATAAGAGCGAGAATGAGAGTGAGAATGAGAATAAGAGTAAGAATTATTTAAAGAATACTTAATTAAAGGCGAGCTAGCGCTGTGCTAACTGATCTGACCTCATACTCATCAAGTAAACCATACCATTATCATCCATTAGAAATAGGACTTTATTTTTATATGAATGTACAAAAATATATATTCCTTATTCTCTTTACTTATATACCACTATCTGAGACTGATAGTGATACTGAAACTGATGAGTGAAACTGATAGTGAGACTGAGAATGAGACTAATAGTGAGACTGAGATTGAGACTGAGAGTTAGACTGAGAGTGAGACTGAGAGTGAGACTGATAGTGAGACTGGGAGTGAGACTGAGAGTGAAATTGTAAGTGAGACTGGGAGTGAGACACAGAGTGAGACTGTAAGTGAGACTGATAGTGAGACTGAGATTGAGACTGAGAGTGAGACTGAGAGTGAGACCGAGATTGAGTTTGAGACTGAGAAGAAGGCTGAAACTGAGAGCGAGAATGAGAATGAGAGCGAGACTGAGAATATGAGTGAGAATGAGACTGAGAGTGAGACTAAGACTGAGACTGAGAATGAGACTGATAGTAAGACTGATAGTGAGACTGAGAGTGAGACTGAGAGTGAGACTGATAGAGAGCCTGGGAGTGAGACTGTAAGTGAGACTGGGAGTGAGACTGAGAGTGAGACAGATAGTGAGACTGAGAATGAGAGCGAAAATGAAAATGATAGTGAGACTGAGAGTGAGACTAAGACTGAGACTGAGAATGAGACTGAGAGTGAGACTGAGAGTGAGACTGAGAGTGAGACTGATAGGGAGCCTGGGAGTGAGACTGTAAGTGAGACTGATAGTGAGACTGAGAGTGAGACTGAGAATGAGACTGAGAGTGAGACTGATAGTGAGACTGAGAGTGAGACTGAGAGTGAGACTGATAGTGAGACAGAGTGAGACTGAGGGTGAGACTGTAAGTGAGACTACGAGTGAGACTGAGAGTGAAACGGATAGTGAGACTGAGAGTGAGACTGAGAGTGAGACTGAGAGTGAGACTGAGAGTGAGACTGAGAGTGAGACTGAGAGTGAGACTGAGAGTGAGACTGAGAGTGAGACTGACAGTGAGACTGAGATTGAGACTAAGAATGAGACTGAGAGTGTGATTGTGAGTGAGAATGATAGTGAGACTGAGATTGAGACTAAGAGTGAGATTATGAATGAGACTGATAGTGAGACTAAGTTTGAGACTGAGAGTGAGACTGTGAATGAGACTGATAGCGAGACTGAGATTGAGACTGAGAGTAAGTCTGAGAGTGAGACTGTGAGTGAAACTGATAGTGAGACTGAGAGCGAGACCGAGAGTGAGACTGAGAGAGAGACTGAGAGTGAGACTGAGAGTGAGACTGTTAGTGAGACTGAGAGTGAGACTGAGAGTGAGACTGTGAGTGACTGTGAGTGAAACTGATAGTGAGACTGACAGCGAGACCGAGAGTGAGACTGAGAGTGAGACTGAGAGTGACACTGAGAGTGAGACTGTTAGTGAGACTGAGAGTGAGACTGAGAGTGAGACTGAGAGTGAGACTATAAGTGAGACTGGGAGTGAGACTGCGAGTGAGACTGAGAGTGAGACTGAGAGTGAGACTGAGAGTGAGACTGATAGGGAGCCTGGGAGTGAGACTGTAAGTGAGACAGATAGAGAGCCTGGGAGTGAGACTGTAAGTGAGACTGGGAGTTAGACTGAGAGATTTAGACTGAGAGCGAGAATGAAAATGAGAGTGACAATAAGAGCGAGAATGAGAGTGAGAATGAGAATAAGAGTAAGAATTATTTAAAGAATACTTAATTAAAGGCGAGCTAGCGCTGTGCTAACTGATCTGACCTCATACTCATCAAGTAAACCATACCATTATCATCCATTAGAAATAGGACTTTATTTTTATATGAATGTACAAAAATATATATTCCTTATTCTCTTTACTTATATACCACTATCTGAGACTGATAGTGATACTGAAACTGATGAGTGAAACTGATAGTGAGACTGAGAATGAGACTAATAGTGAGACTGAGATTGAGACTGAGAGTTAGACTGAGAGTGAGACTGAGAGTGAGACTGATAGTGAGACTGGGAGTGAGACTGAGAGTGAAATTGTAAGTGAGACTGGGAGTGAGACACAGAGTGAGACTGTAAGTGAGACTGATAGTGAGACTGAGATTGAGACTGAGAGTGAGACTGAGAGTGAGACCGAGATTGAGTTTGAGACTGAGAAGAAGGCTGAAACTGAGAGCGAGAATGAGAATGAGAGCGAGACTGAGAATATGAGTGAGAATGAGACTGAGAGTGAGACTAAGACTGAGACTGAGAATGAGACTGATAGTAAGACTGATAGTGAGACTGAGAGTGAGACTGAGAGTGAGACTGATAGAGAGCCTGGGAGTGAGACTGTAAGTGAGACTGGGAGTGAGACTGAGAGTGAGACAGATAGTGAGACTGAGAATGAGAGCGAAAATGAAAATGATAGTGAGACTGAGAGTGAGACTAAGACTGAGACTGAGAATGAGACTGAGAGTGAGATTGAGAGTGAGACTGAGAGTGAGACTGATAGTGAGACTGAGAGTGAGACTGATAGTGAGACTGAGAGTGAGACTGATCGTGAGATTGATCGTGAGACTGATCGTGTGACTGAGTGATATTGTGAGTGAGACTGAGAGTGAGACTGAGAGTGAGACTGAGAGTGAGACTGAGAGTGAAACTGATAGTGAGACTGAGAGTGAGACTGAGAGTGAGACTGAGAGTGAGACTGAGAGTGAGACTGAGAGTGAGACTGAGAGTGAGACTGAGAGTGAGACAGAGAGTGAGACTGATAGGGAGCCTGGGAGTGAGACTGTAAGTGAGACTGATAGTGAGACTGATAGTGAGACTGAGATTGAGACTAAGAGTGAGACTGTAAGTGAGACTGAGAGTGAGACTGAGAGTGAGACTGATAGTGAGACTGAGAGTGAGACTGAGGGTGAGACTGAGAGTGAGACTGATAGGGAGCCTGGGAGTGAGACTGTAAGTGAGACTGATAGTGAGACTGATAGTGAGACTGATAGTGAGACTGAGATTGAGACTAAACGTGAGATTAAGAACCCTTTTTTTAATTTCTTCATGCCTTTCGAGTCAACTTAAATTAAAATTTCTTTCTGAATATTTGCGTTCAGAAAGTGAGACTGAGAGTGAGACTGTTAGTGAGACTAAGATTGAGACTGAGAGAAAGACTGAGAGTGAGACTGAGAGTGAGACTGATAGTGAGACTGAGATTGAGACTAAGAATGAGACTGAGAGTGTGATTGTGAGTGAGAATGATAGTGACACTGAGAGTGAGACTGAGATTGAGACTGAGAGTGTGACTGATAGTGAGACTAAGTTTGAGACTGAGAGTGAGACTGTGAATAGAATAGAATAGAATAGAAATCATTTATTCAAATAAACTTACATTGAAGCACTTTTTAATAGTCATAACATTTTTTTTTTTAATCTACCGCTCATTCGGAATGCTGTCTCATCACAAGAAGAACAAGCAAGAAACTTGTGTGTTGCTCTTTTAATTAATTTATTCTTACTTACAATTTAAGTTTAAGTGTGTGAATACAAACCACCGATTAGCACTAATTCAATTAAATACTCAAAAAGAAAAAAATATTGAATACATAACCAACTGGTTAAACAATTAATAAGAGGAAATCAGTCATAGTGATTAGAGCAGACCAGTCCCTACAAGCAGCACCCGTTCACGAGTATGACGGATGAGCCAGCCATCACTGCGCTCGACCATATTTTAGGGAGCCCAATGACCCGGCCCACCACGCCGCCACAAGTCTGGACATTTTAGTGAGCATGACTACTCAAAAACCCAGACCACGTCATAGCTACTCACAATTGAATGAGACTGATAGTGAGACTGAGATTGAGACTGAGAGTGAGACTGAGGGTGAGACCGAGAGTGAGACTGAGAGAGAGACTGAGAGTGAGACTGAGAGTGAGACTGTAAGTGAGACTGAGAGTGAGACTGAGAGTGAGACTGATAGTGAGACTGAGAGTGAGACTGAGGGTGAGACTGAGAGTGAGACTGATAGGGAGCCTGGGAGTGAGACTGTAAGTGAGACTGATAGTGAGACTGATAGTGAGACTGAGATTGAGACTAAACGTGAGATTAAGAACCCTTTTTTTAATTTCTTCATGCCTTTCGAGTCAACTTAAATTAAAATTTCTTTCTGAATATTTGCGTTCAGAAAGTGAGACTGAGAGTGAGACTGTTAGTGAGACTAAGATTGAGACTGAGAGAAAGACTGAGAGTGAGACTGAGAGTGAGACTGATAGTGAGACTGAGATTAAGACTAAGAATGAGACTGAGAGTGTGATTGTGAGTGAGAATGATAGTGAGACTGAGATTGAGACTAAGAGTGAGATCATGAATGAGACTGATAGTGAGACTAAGTTTGAGACTGAGAGTGAGACTGTGAATGAGACTGATAGTGAGACTGAGATTGAGACTGAGAGTGAGACTGAGGGTGAGACCGAGAGTGAGACTGAGAGAGAGACTGAGAGTGAGACTGATAGTGAGACTGGGAGTGAGACTGAGAGTGAGACTGTAAGTGAGACTGATAGTGAGACTGATAGTGAGACTGAGAGTGAGACAGATAGTGAGACTGAGAATGAGACTGAGAATGAGAGCGAAAATGAAAATGATAGTGAGACTGAGAGTGAGACTGAGAGTGAGACTGATAGTGAGACTGGGAGTGAGACTGAGAGTGAAATTGTAAGTGAGACTGGGAGTGAGACACAGAGTGAGACTGTAAGTGAGACTGATAGTGAGACTGAGATTGAGACTGAGAGTGAGACTGAGAGTGAGACCGAGACTGAGTTTGAGACTGAGAAGAAGGCTGAAACTGAGAGCGAGAATGAGAATGAGAGCGAGACTGAGAATATGAGTGAGAATGAGACTGAGAATGAGAGCGAAAATGAAAATGATAGTGAGACTGAGAGTGAGACTGAGAGTGAGACTGATAGTGAGACTGGGAGTGAGACTGAGAGTGAAATTGTAAGTGAGACTGGGAGTGAGACACAGAGTGAGACTGTAAGTGAGACTGATAGTGAGACTGAGATTGAGACTGAGAGTGAGACTGAGAGTGAGACCGAGACTGAGTTTGAGACTGAGAAGAAGGCTGAAACTGAGAGCGAGAATGAGAATGAGAGCGAGACTGAGAATATGAGTGAGAATGAGACTGAGAATGAGAGCGAAAATGAAAATGATAGTGAGACTGAGAGTGAGACTAAGACTGAGACTGAGAATGAGACTGATAGTAAGACTGATAGTGAGACTGAGAGTGAGCCTGAGAGTGAGACAGTAAGTGAGACTGAGAGTGAGACTGATAGTGAGACTGAGAGTGAGACTGTAAGTGACACTGATAGTGAGACTGAGAGTAAGACTGTAAGTGAGACTGAGAGTGAGACTGTAAGTGAGACTGATAGTGAGACTGATAGTGAGACTGAGATTGAGACTGTGAGTGAGACTGAGAGTGAGACAGATAGTGAGACTGTGAGTGAGCCGAGACTGAGTTTGAGACTGAGAAGAAGGCTGAAACTAAGAGCGAGAATGAGAATGAGAGCGGGACTGAGAATATGAGTGAGAATGAGACTGAGAATGAGAGCGAGAATGAGAATGATAGTGAGACAGAGAGTAAGACAGAGAGTGAGACTGAGAGTGAGACTGAGAGTGAGACTGAGAGTGAGACTGATAGTGAGACTGAGAGTGAGACTGAGAGTGACACTGTAAGTGAGACTGATAGTGAGACTGAGATTGAGACTGAGATTGAGACTGAGAGTGAGACTGAGAGTGAGACTGAGAGTGAGACTGAGGTTAAGACTGTGAGTGAGACCGAGACTGAGTTTGAGACTGAGAAGAAGGCTGAAACTGAGAGCGAGTATGAGAATGAGAGCGAGACTGAGAATATGAGTGAGAATGAGACTGAGAATGAGAGCGAGAATGAGAATGATAGTGAGACTGAGATTGAGACTGAGAGTGAGACTGATAGTGAGACTGGGAGTGTGACTGAGAGTGAGACTATAAGTGAGACTGGGAGTGAGACTGCGAGTGAGACTGTAAGTGAGACTGATAGTAAGACTGATAGTAAGACTGATAGTGAGACTGAGATTGAAACTAAGAGTGAGACTGAGAGTGAGACTGTGAGTGAGATTGAGAGTGAGATTATGAGTGAGACCGAGACTGAGTTTGAGACTGTCTAATTGTAATGACTGGGTAATTGTTATCGATGAGCTAACTGATCTGATCTCATACTCATCTTATCATCGTCCACTAGTGCCCCGCCAGCATAAACTTTAATGCAAGCGAACCATACCATTATCATCCATTAAAAATAGGACTTTATTTTTATATGAATGAAGTGGTACTTAAGTAAAGGTAATAAGGAATATATATTTTTGTACATATTTATAATGAAAAAATTAAGAGAACCTATTTTGTGCAGATTTTTATTCTCTGCAACTTTGATTTAAAACATTTTTACATGTTTCATACCGTTGTAGATAGTGAGACTGATAGTGAGACTGATAGTAAGACTGATAGTGAGACTGAGATTGAGACTGTGAGTGAGACTGAGAGTGAGACAGATAGTGAGACTGAGATTGAGACTGTGAGTGAGCCGAGACTGAGTTTGAGACTGAGAAGAAGGCTGAAACTGAGAGCGAGGATGAGAATGAGAGCGAGACTGAGAATATGAGTGAGAATGAGACTGAGAATGAGAGCGAGAATGAGAATGATAGTGAGACTGAGACTGAGACTGAGAGTGAGAGTGAGACTGAGAGTGAGACTGAGATTGAGACTGTGAGTGAGTATGTGAGTGAGATTGAGAGTGAGATTGTGAGTGAGACCGAGATTGAGATTGAGACTGTCTAATTGTTATCGATGAGCTAACTGATCTGATCTCATACTCATCTTATCATCGTCCACTAGTGTCCCGCCAGCATAAACTTTAATGCAAGCGAGTGAACCATACCATTATCATCCATTAAAAATAGGACTTTATTTTTATATGAATGAAGTGATACTTAAGTGAAGAGAATAAGGAATATATATATTTTTCCTACTCGTGAACGGGTGCTGCTTGTAGGAACTGGTCTGCTCTAATCACTATGACTGATTTCCTCTTATTAATTGTTTAACCAGTTGGTTATATATTCAATTTTTTTTTTATTTGAGTATTTAATTGAATTAGTTCGAATTGGTGGTTTGTGTTCACACACTTAAACTTAAAAATGTAAAGTAATAATAAAATTATTTAAAAGAGCAACACACAAGTTTCTTGCTCGTTCTTCTTGTGATGAGACAGCTTTCCGAACGAGCGGTAGATTAAAAAAATGTAATGACTATTCAAAAGTGCTTCAATGTAAGTTTATTTGAATAAATGATTTTCTATTTCTATTTCTATTTTATACGACACGTCAATGGATACCTATATACACGTCAGTAATAAAAAAACTTTCATCCGCTATTTTATTTTACCCATTTAAGGGTAACATTTTTACAAACTTTGTCATATTCATTTATATTTAATCAACAGCCTCAAAAAAAAAATTATCCCCAATTTATTTAAGGGTAATATTTTTAAAAACTTTGTATGTCATATTTAATCTGCTCGTTCTTCTTGTAATGAGACAGCTTTCCGAACGAGTGGTAGATAGAAAACAAATTGTTATGACTATTCAAAAGTGCTTAAATTAAGTTTATTTGAATAAATGATTTTCTATTCTATTCTATTCTATTTATATTTAATTAGCAGCTTCACAAATAAGTTTCAAGCTTCTAGCTTCAAAAATGTCAATTCTCCATACAATCTTTCATCCCCAATTATCTCTATCTATATCAATTATCTACCCCTTACAACCCTTTTTTCGCATTAAAAAGTAGCCTATGTTCTTTCTCAGGTTCTAGACTATGTGTGTACCAAATTTCATTTAAATCGGTTCAGTAGTTTTGACGTGAAAGCGAGACAGACAGTTACTTTCGCATTTATAATATTAGTAAGGAGTAAGGATAGTGTAAATCAAAGTCGCTGTCGCTGTCCGTCCCTATGTATGCTTAAATCTTTAAAACTACGCAACGGATTTTGAAGCTGTTTTAATAGATAGACTGATTCAAGATGAAGGTTTATATGTATAATACATGTACACCCGTGCGAAGCCGGGGCGAGCTAGTAAAGTATAATACAAACAATAAAAATGCAAATATACTTGTATAATAAATCATTTTTATTGAATTATAACGACATTATTAAATAACAAAAATCAATTTACAACACGATTACATATAAAATTAGAGTTGGAGGAAAGTGTGAGCCACTCTCCTTGACGGGGCGACGCGTTCTCGTTTCATTTACATTAGCCAGCTGATTATTGACCAAACAATCTTGTAATGAGTGTCACACATTTTAGAGGGAGCTTCCTTATTGGATCTCTTTCTGTAACGAATTCAAGACACGTCGACCCGTGGTTTCATCATATAATGTTACTAACAATTCTCATTTGCAACTAATGAACAACAATGAATAGGTTTACATATATTTTATTACTTTATATAATCAAAAGTATCTGTTAATAATTTCATAGAGATTATATAATCTTGCCCAGTTCTTCTCAACTGAAGTAGCTAGCTGAACTGAACCGTAGGGATGATAAAAAAATATTAATCTTAAAATAAATAACCTTACATCATATTATAAACGCGAAAGTTTGTGAGTCCGGATGGATGTTTGTTACTCTTTCACGCAAAAACTATTGAACGGTTTGTGATGAAACTTTACTGTAATACAGCTTATATATCAGACTAATATATAGGCTAAAAATGTCAGTAGAATATTAAATATAACGTGCACAAGCGCCTGAAAAGTTAAACAATTAAGAGTGTATAAAACCGAGGTTCTGGAGATCAGCAGCGTTTGTACTTATTGAATGAAATACAGTTATGAGCTTACAACCGTATATATATTGTAATGTGTATAATCTAAGTGCCTAAATAATTTTTTTTTTTTCGGACTACTCCAATGCTGTTGGCCGTAGCTGGCCTTTACAGCTTCATCGGACGTTATGGGGCGAGTGCAGATGGCACTCCAAACCCGCGGAAGGACTTATGGAGCGGCTGAAGGCCAACTCCTGCCCGACGGATACCACTTTAGTCCGAGGGCACCACTAGGGGTTCGAACCTCGGCTGAGGCCGTCGTAATTTCGATCCCCGTTTGAATTGGACGGGGGATCGATCGGAGGGGTGCCTAAATAAAAAATTACATATCTATATAAGGAATAACAAAAATATCTTATTAGCGTGTTTTAGAAATATGTATGCAAAAATACAGCGCCATCTAGTTGTACTAGTATAAAACTATTTTGACTCGAACAAAGATTTTAAGTTTGAACTTAAAGACTACTTATTAAATACACACAAAATTTCGCGTTTATAATATTGAAGAATAAGATTTCACCGATGTAATTGCAACTTAACTTACAGACTGCATCTGCAACAGACATATACATTTTTAGTCTGTTACAATTGAGAATTGTTAATAACAGCATTACATAAGCTGTCGATCAGGAAGGCGGCGAAACGGCACTGCTACCTATACACCATAATTACTAAACCTACTGGATATATTTGAAAAGTGTAATTGATAAATTGAGTATTACGCTCCTTACACACGGGGCCAGTCCTAATGAATATAGCTGAAATACATGAAACTGAATCAGTCAAAGAAACAAAGTGAAAATATACTCAATAGTTGAAGCGACTGAAACAAAGTTAAAATCTATACATATAAATAAAATTGGAGTGTCTGTTTGTAATATTGACATAACCGTTTTTTACTACATGCATATGAATATAAATAGGGTACATACACCAAAAAAACCACTTCGGTCTGTCTCTGAAATGGCTGGACCGATTTTGACGGGACTTTTTTGGCAGATATTTAATGTAATAAGCAGTAACTTAGGCTACTTTTATTTTAGGAAACAAAGTTAATTTCCACTCGGACGAAGTCGCGGGAACAGCTAGTATTAAATAAATTTATTACGTTAATGTACAGTTCGTATAAAAATCTCCGTTTCGGAGGAGTATGGGAATGAAAACTGACACGAGAATTTTATATATAAGATATATATATATATATATCACTTTGTTTCTTTGAAAAAGCTATTCAGTTGCAATAATACCATGGCTGGATTTAGCTTTGTATATTCTAAATCAGAGATTCCCAAAGTGGTCTATATCGACCCCCAGGGGTCTATAACAAACTGCAAGGGGTCTACAACAGCTGTCATCTTGTTGTTTTTACTTTATGTTTTTAACACTAAACTTTACTACAGTTAGAAATACAAAAAATCAATACCAGATAAGAATGGGGGGTCTACCCAAAGGGGCCGTTCAAGTATTACGTAAGCACTATAGGGGGGCGGGGGGTCTTTTCTTTACTTATTTTGGATGACATGGGGGTGGGGGAGTCTGTATGATGATTACGTCATCGGTCGTAATTTACTTTTTTACACGAATGGCAACCCTCACATTGTCTTTGTTAAAAAAACAATACATTAATTGAGAAATGTTTACATAAGCATGGGGGGAGGGGTAAGAGCTTTGCTTACTTTTGCTGACAACGGGGGATGAGGGGTAAATAATTGTGATAAATCTGCTTACGTAATACTTGAACAGCCCCAAACCCGAAAAATATGGCAAGGGGTCCACAACCCAAAATTTGGGAACCTCTGCTCTAAATGTATGTAAAAGAGCAAGCCTGAAGAATAGATTTAGCAGCGCCGCGCTGCAGTGGGTCCAGACTTAAAGATTCAACAAACAGTCCATTTATTGTAACATAACCGAAACATGACGGGATGCACCGCTCTCCCGTGTCCCGTCGTAAAATCACAATACTTAATAATAAATATTTACAAATTAACACGAACAATAGGTTATATGTAGAGATTATATTGATCGTAAGAGTACCGCGCTATGACTGGCGGAAGGAGATTTAGTGTATGACATCAATAGTTACTTTTAAACTTTCGTGTTTAATATACATTATTTAAATTATTAACCGGGTCTTAACACGAATAATTTTACATGGTGTAACAGCGATGCAATCTACATTGACATCGCTGTTACTCCAGTCAGCTCGTGACCACGGCGGTGAGGTAAATAACTTTATTTGCCATAAAATTATTCGTGTTAAGACCCGGTTAATAATATAAATAATATGACATCAATGTTCATACAGCTATGATTATGTAACCATATCCAAAACTGATACGTATAATAGTAAATCACGGTATCTTACCACGTTTTATATTTATTGAGTCCCCGATATTTATAGCTTCAACCGACATGATAACGGGTAAACAGAAGAGCAGCAGTAGATGGTAAATAATGGGGTTTTTCAAGAAGGGTATATTAAGGTTTCTTAAGTGTCGGCAACGCGCACGTGACACCGCTGGTGTTTCAGGCGTTTATAGGCTACGGTAACCATTTACCATCAGATGGGCCGTATGCTTGATTGCCACCATCGTAGTATAAAAAAAATCTATGGGTAATCAAATGCGTCTACCTTCACACGTCTTCGTTTGTTGCTACTATTGGAACTCGCTCGATATTCATCTGTACTCACAGTATCTTCGCGTACATTTAAACACATTTTGATCACTTTTTTATATTTTTTAATTAAACGTTTTAAATGTACGTGAAGATACTGTGAGAATATCGAGCGAGTTCCAGCAACAAACGAAGACGTGTGAAGGTAGACGATATTCATCTGCCCGCAAAATTTATTTACCATCTACCCACTGTACTTCAGTTTTCCCGTGATCATGGCGGTTGAAACACTGCCGAAATATCGGGAACCAATATAAATAATACGTGGCAAGGTCCCATGATTATTACTAATTATATGTATAAATAAAGCTACCCAAACTGTTTCTTAATTCAAACACGTTGTTATCGCCAACTTCGGGACTATGTACAAATCGTTTGATAGTTGCAATAACGCTCCATGCAAGTTTGGTAACTGAAACTGTCAAATCGATCTTATATAATCGCATAAATATCAATCACATCACGTCTCTTAACAAATGTGTTACATAATCAACAGCAGATGTTAGGATAGTGTACAATATTTTAAAGGGCTCTAATAGACATAGAGAGGACGCGGCGCGATGAAACATCGCACCGCACCGCACCGCACCGCATCGCATAGCACCCAGTGGCGTAGTTAGGTAACCAAGGGCCCCGGGGGAAAAAATGCGACCCCACTGCTTAGAGGGGGCCCTATATTATAGTTTTATTAAAACGCACACATCGCTGTCCGTCAAATTGACAGCACTGCCAACCCACAGAAAGAATTTAGGGAAATTTTGAAAAGTTCAGTTCGATCGAGATTTTCTGGTAAATATTCGAGGGCAATATGAGCTCGAGGACCCGGGGCACCGGTCCGCCTAGCCCCTAGGTAGCTACGCCACTGATCGCACCGCACCGCAACAACACCTGGTGGTATAAGGGACCGTGGAGTTTAGAACTCGAAGCAGCGCTGCAGGTTGACGTACTTCTTGAGGGCGTGCGGCAGCGGCAGCTCCTTGACGGCGCGCTTCATGCACAGCGAGAGGCGCACGCGGCGAGCGTCGTCCTCGTGGTGGCGGGACCGCTGCGGCGGGCGTCGTTGCGGCGGTGCGCGCCGTCCGGTTCCGCCGTCCGTGTCCGGCGCGCCGTCCGGCTCGATGCCGGACTCGCGCGACCTGGACGACGAGCGCGCTCTCCGGGCCGCCACGGGACCTCTTCTGCCGCCGTCTGCGACCTGTGCGTACATTATAAGATTAGACAACACTATACGTTGGGGATATTCTTAAGATACATAGATCACTAGATCTTAAGATACATAGATCTAGTCCCTCGATCCTTCGGACGGTGCGGGTAAGAAATTTGTTCACTGGTGAGGTAATGGAGTGATTGGTTTTAGGGTACAATGGGACTGACATGTACTTAGATGGTACAAAAGTCCCTAAATTTAAAAAAAATAAAAAAAATCTAGTCCCTTATAAATGTTCTACGGCAAGTGCTATTGTTATATATAGAATAGAATAGAATAAAATAGAAAATAATTTATTCAAATAAACTTAGTTTAAGCACTATTGAATAGTCATAACAATTTGTTTTTTATCTACCACTCGTTCGGAAAGCTGTCTCATCACAAGAAGAACGAGCAAGAAACTTGTGTGTTGCTCTTTTAAATAATCCTTTAGGTGCTTACATTTACAAGTCGAAACTTGTGAATACAAACTACCAGCCAGCAGTAATTTGGGTCAAATATAAAAATGCAATAAGATTAAATCAGTCGTAGTGATAAGAGCAGACCAGTCCCTAAAAGAAAATCTCTCGTTCACGTCGAGTATGACGGATGAGCCAGCCATCACTGCGCTCGACCATATTTTAGGGTACCAATGACCCGGCCCACCACGCCGCCGTTGTCCGCAAATAAACTTATTCTTGCTAAAGCATTGCTATCATCTATAAATTCATCTATCCTATAATAGGCTTTTTTACATAACATTTGTTTAATATAAATGAATGTCTCTCTGTCAGATTTAGAGATTCTGACAGTTTATTATAGAATCTTATGCGATATATATTTATATCTTTTACGTTTCTGTATTATGTGTCATATATATTAATGAACCGAACTGAACAATCTCTTTCTGCACCACTCATGGCTGACTGGTAGGTGTTAAGTCCACCGTGTGTATTATTGGATTATTAAAAAAATACATTTTATGTTTATTTTTTAATTATGGTAAAATTGCTTAATTATATGTACATTTTATTTGCCTTTTTTTTCGTTTGTTGTTTATATTGTA